TTACAATTTGGAAGTAAAGAAAAAAATAGACTTATCAATAATAAAGGCAGTATTGCAATATAGTCAAAACACACGAAAAAATTATCTCTCGAATTGAAGTGCTGTCGATTCAACCAACTACATAAAATTCTTTCCGAGATTTTTTCAAAAATCTATCACATAATGCATTTGAAATTTATCTAAACATTTCTAACTCACCAAAACATTACAATTAAATCAAAAAATGTATTTGTAACAGAATTTATTGTTGCAATACGCAAAGTCCATACACAATTAAAAGTGGGAAAAAATCGCAACCACAAATCCGCCGTAAACGATACACAATTATCCGATATATGTATGTAAGTATATACAAGTATTTGCAACTTATACAGAAAAGCGACGAAATGTACTTCTGTATACGACCGTGTCGAGTGTGACGCGCAAAGAAGAAATAACATCGACCAATGAAAACGCACCTTCCCGCTTGTAGTTATAGTCGACAAATTTGTGCCAACGCATTTTACCTCCCGTTCCCGTTGACTAACATTGTGCACTTCAGTACGTCTTCACCTTTCCAACAGTAAAAATTGTATCCCTATATGTCAACGACACCACAGTCAAAAAGGGAACACAAACATTCTTTGTTAATTATATAAATGTAGATATGTATATAAAGCTAAGTGAGTACATGACCTTTAATATAATTTAATAACATACTAAATTTGATTGTTATCTATTCACGATTTCGTCGAATAACCAATATTGAATTCTTTCGCAACATTTATTAATATAAAGTTTTGCCAACACCTGAAGGTATTTCCCCGGCTTTGATCCTGGCAAGTTGCAAGAATACATATGAAATGTTCGGTTACACCCGGACTTAGTCCTTCCTTAAAGCAATAAACTCTTCCAAAATATTCGAAAATATTCTTCAAAGTTTTTATTAATAATTTCCATTCAAAATACTTTTTTCCAAAAAGTTATTATTTTACATTCCTATTATGTAAGAGATCTGATAGTACAGGGTTGACGGTTGTTATCGAAGTACCCGTCCGTAGCGTATTATAGTGTTGCCACATATGTATATAAAAATATTCAGAAGCGAGTTGAAATACTGGTATCTGTTTGTAGGTCCGTGTGTCTGTGCAAGCTGTAACTTGTGTAAAAATTTAGATATCTTGATAAAATCTGCTACACATATTACTTAGCATCAAAAGAAAAATGGTATTGAAGATGGATAAACTGTAATACAGTACAGAGAATCTCAGTAGAAAGAGGCATCTGAGGTTTGAAAGTTAAAAACAAAATTTTTTTAATGGCTATGGTTCATTTCTAATTGTTGTAATGTGCATATCTCACAAACCGCTAAAGATATACACTTGTATGTATTTCTAGCATCTTTTTATATACTAAATAAATACGTCCGCATCATTATATTTCACACCCAAGATGGTATGGAAGAGTTAAATAGGAGCAGGTGTCCAAATTGGACAATGAACGTGGCACTGCCCACCTTTAAGTGAAATCGTATATCTCAGGATCTAATAAAGACTTCGAACCAAATTCGGTGAATAACATTATTCTGAAGTTTTTATGATACACTGTGAAAGTGGGGAAATTGGACTACAACGACGCCTACTTCCTATATGTATATCAAAATTTTAAATTCCACATGATTTTTTCACTTTAATAGAATATAAATCAAGCACCAATGAGGTTATAGTCGAGGTCGAACCAAAACTTTTTAAATCTCCAGATACCGAATACCTGAAAATGTCAGTCAGTTTGCGAGTTATCTTCATACAATTTTTTGGAAAAATGTTAAACCTTGCTCTGTACCTCATGTCTCTAATATAATGATTTTAGATTATCTGATTGACGTTTTCTTCACATACCCAATATACCAATAAATTTAAGACCTTACATACTTATGTATACCCTAAACAGGCTATATTAAATTTGTCACGAAGTTTGTGACACCCAAAGGGAAAATTCGGAGACCTTATAAAGTATACATATGTATGTATATGTACATATGAACACACAAAAAAGTTATTACGGTTTGTTTTTGTAGCACGATTCGTGAGCCACCCTGTACAGACATACATATCTTGTATTTCTTGTTTATACGAAGTTGCTCAGGAATCACTCAGCGAAGTTAACGACGATGCAGAATTACTGAAACGTGTAATGACAGGTGACGAAAAATGGGTTGACGGATATGACATTGAAACGTCTCCATATTATCCATTTCTTTTAACAAACTAAAATCGCTAAAACGTCTAAGCTTAGGGGCTGCCCGGACAAAGTAAGCAATGAATACAATGTTCAAAATTTTATTGTAGTACTTCAGAGGCAATTTTGACAATTGGACTCTCCAATACCATGATTTTAATCATATCATAAATCATGGGTACATACGTTAGTATATTGGACCGCTTTAATTATACCAATAGCAACAAAGGTATTTTCTAAGGATTCTTTTAAGAATATTTGTGTGTACTGTTCTGATTTAAACCGTATTCCAGTGTGGGGGCAAGGTCTGGGCTAAAAGGTGGGTGAGACAAATTTTTCCAGTCGCTATTTTCTAAATAGTTTTTAACTGATCTTACAACATAAGTTACTTCGAATCTAGTCGCAAATTCCGGGCATTTATTGGCAATCGCTAGCTTCAACTTGATGCGTTACTGTCGGTAGCGTTCCCCATTAATGGTTTCACCCAGCTTTAGAAGATCCTAATACAAAACGCCCTTCTGATCCCACCAAATACAGAGTACTTGGCATCATGGATATTCAGCTTTGTCGTTGAGTTGCCTAGTTTGCCAGGTTTCTCATATGTTTTTTTTTGGGTTTAGGGTTATCAGAATGGACGCATTTTTTAACATTTTTGTAGCGTTCAAGCAGCACTTCTAACATGCTATCATCTTTCAACGCCTCTTGGTACCACATTATATGACATCCAATTTTCTTGCTTTGGATATAACCCGTAGCTTATAAACGTGTTGAAATAGCTGCTTGTGAGACTCCGTGAGTTCTTCTTGTACTCGATGCTGTGAGCTTGTATTTAGCAACAATATTCATCGAATAATGCTTCCAGTTCCTCATCTTCAAACCCAGGAAGTACTTCGTCTTACAAGCCAAAATCACCATTTTAAATCATGCGCACCACTTTTGGCACCACAAACTTCCACCCAAATACGATTACTTCATAACATTCATATCACTCACACGAATTTTTCCATATTTTTGCTAACAACAACCCACCATATACTTCATCCTCGTTTCCAATATTTATAAGCGATTTTTGCAATTAAGTTTAAGGCTCTACCATTTCAGAAACTTCAGAAAGGCACTTGATTTTATAAAAATACATGTACATATATAGGAATAAATTTTCATGTTTGTTTTTATAAACTGTGTGCGCATGTCACGAATCACAAATTTTATAACGGATTTGGCTTATTTAAATATGTCATTCTTTCAAATATCATCAAACAGTTATAGTTGCTATGTGTATATATTTTTAGTGAAAAATAAAACTTGATTTTAAATTGAAATATTTTTGAAAACTAAAATAGGTTTTTTATATACAAAACTACTTCATAACATCTTTGATACAAATTATTATTGATTGCTTACAAGTAAATTACCAGTTTATAGCTTTTTATGATTAATATTTTAAGCTATTTTAAAGATAAAAGAGCACAAACATAATAAAAAGACTATGGCAACCAACCATTTTGAACCAACTTCGATACAAACATGTGACTTCAATGGATGAAAGATATGACCAGTTAAAATAAGTTACTAAAACTTTTTGATTTTTATTCAATATTGGTCAGGTGCAAACTTGTACATACACGGCCATTTTTTAACATCGTAAAAAATTAAAAATGTCATTATCTCACGGCGGATTGATGGATATTGATGCAACAGATTTATTTAACGAAGTACAAGCTATTGGCAGAAAAATTTTTCATAAAATTACACCACCAGACGTTTTAAATTATATTTGTCCAATCGAATTGATACATATTTATACACATTTACGGAATTACCGGTGTTGCTAACATTTCCTTCGCTAACTTGTGGAGAGCGCCGTTTCTCTAATTGAAATTTGCATATGTACCTACGCTCTACAATGTGTCAAGAAAGACTGGGAGGATTGCCAACATTATCAATTGAAAATAAAGTGTCTGATTTTAAATAATTAACTTGTTTTTAATATTATTTGTATAATTATAAACTTTAGAAATATATAATATATGTTAAGATTTTTCAATATGAGTGATGTTATTTTTTTAATAAAATTACCGGAATAATTTTCAAAAATTATAAATTTTGTTAAATTTTTATGTTCCCATAGGCTTAAAAGGGGCGCAGAATTTGGTATTTCTTTAAGGCGGTAAATTGTCTCGGAACGGCCCTGTGAGCATATGCATATACATACATACATACATAAATCATCTAACGCTTTCCACATAACAATTTTAAAATACTTTTATAATATACTGTCGAAGTGTCAACGCAGTGCGTTGAATATATAAGTAACTAAATTTTACTTTGTGGACTTTGTGACACATCCCAGTGAGCAAAAATTAAGTGGATATTTTTGAATACCGAGGGGGTCAACAATATAGCAATGCAATTTAAGGTTTTCCTTCTCGCTACTTTTTTTTTGTTAGAAAAAATTAAAATTATGTCCAAAAACTTAGCAAATGATAAAAGAAAATAATTTACTTTTGGACCGAAATTATCGTTAAATTCCCTTCAATTATAGCGTAAGAATAACAGTTTATTAAACACTTTTTATTCTTCATAATATAAAATATTATATTTATGTTTTACCGACTAATTATTTGAAAAAATAAGAGTAAACTAAATGTGTCAAGTCATTTTCTTCTTATGGTAATTTTTATATTTAATAAATATGATTTTTCAATAAAACTCAGTAGCACAAAATTCTGTAATCCATCGTAATGGATTTAAATTAAAATCATTCATAATCGGAGTCTACTCTATTTTATTGCTTTTTCTTTTTAAAAAAGGCAAGTGAATATATTGTAGTAGCATATATACACATTTATATACTTACCCATTTTATTTATGCATATACATATACCCGGTTTTATATTGGCCAATAACATTGGGCATATGTATATATGTATTTATGTGTATGAACATTGAGGTAGTCCTTAAAAGCTCAACTGACGGTTTGTCTTTTCTCGGTGGATCACTTTTTTCTTATACCTATACTACACATTATTTTATGAAAAGTAAAATTTTAATTCATTTAATGTGCTACTACACAAAATCCTTATTTTGTTAAAATAAAAGAATAAAATTAATTTATAACTTCGCCAAGAAAGGAAGGGTTTAGGAAATAGAAATTAGAAATTTATTTTTAGGAACACCGTGACGTATGTACATGTGTATGTTTATATACTAAGAAAAAGCGTTTACTTCGAACCAGGACCGAAGCTATAATACCCTTCACAAAAGATTCCTTAGAAGAACTTGATTTGAATCAGTCAGTTTGTATGGCAGCTATATGCTAAAGTGACTCGATCTGAACAACTACTTCGTAGATTACTTCATTGCCTTAGACAATAATTCATGACAAATCTCTTAAAGATATGTATCTCGTTAAATTAAAAAGTCTTCCAAACATGCACTTGGTCCAAAATTGGCAATTCCGACAAATGAACAGCTTTTTGGAGAGAAAGGACGTGTGCAAAGTGTCAGATCGATGTATCAAAAATTGGGGGTCTAGTTCGAGTATATAGAGACAGACAGAGAGAGGACGGATGGTTAAATTGAATCAGCTCGTTATGTTTTTTTATATACATTTTAAGGGTCACTCACGTTTCTTTCTGGGTGTTACAAACTTTGTGCCAAACTTAATATACCCTGTTCAGGGTATAAGAATGAATCACATATCGATACTTATTTAGATAACATCTTATGTAGCTCTTATATAGCTACGATGTATATGTATATGTGTAAACACGTGCAGATTTTATGTATGTAGGTATATAGTATACAAGAGAAATTCGAAGAAACGCCCTAGAAATTCCTTAGACGTTTCTGAGAAATTGTACGCTGAATAATGAGGAAGTTCGATATATGTATCATAAAGTGCCTCGAAAATTCTGAGTAAAACTTTACCCAATTTTTTATTTTCTCAATAATAGTGTAATTCTGAAATTTAAAACCAATTATAATGAATATCTATTTGAAAGCTGAAACGAATCCAGTAGGTTGGGTATCAGATCAACAATTAATTCAGTATCGTCGTTCTCCATTTGAGTTTCCATCCACACAATATGAATCGTATCAAGAAAATGGAACTAAATATCTTAAAAGTTTAAAACCGATATCAGACACTCTTCAAGACGAGCTAAACGCATGCACAGGCGAGGTAATGTAAAAAAAAAAAAACAGTTTCGTGCTAATTGTGATTCTAAAAGCATATCCATTTCAGATCTTTCTTAGTGGCATACCGCCGCAAATTCCTGCAGAATCGGTTGCCGAAATCGCTGCGCTAATAGGTGAGATATATATACTGAGATACAAAGTTACTTTCTCTGGGAACTCTCGAGGCTTTGCTTATCTTCAATACATCAATCACACACTCATGCAGCTGGCTATAATTCGGTAAAAATTCTGTAATCTTCATAATAACTATTCTCCTAATTTCTTGCCTTTACAGCTTGCCTGCTCTTTTTCGACAGCACTCACTACCTATGATTCGCGTACGCCAATCACGAAACTCTTCAAAACTTTTACTGAAGAAAACTTATTGCATTTCCCCGCAGAATATTTATGAAATGTTGCATAATCTAATCACGTTTGACAAGTTAGTCGGACGAGAAGTATTCCCTGGTTATTTTGAATATCAAATAATATTTAAATGCAATGAAGAGGCAGTTCATGCCCGACGTGATCTCTTACGCACTATTTCCAAATTTGGAAAAAATGCTATAGTGGTTTGGGATACTAGTAGTGAAGAAACCGATTTTACAAAAGATTTCGTTAGGTACGAAAGTAGCATCAATGCAGAAAAGAAGTACTCTACTATTTTCAACCAAGAGGCACTCAGTACTCTGAATCAATGATCGCCGAAAGTGGATTCCTTTAACTTTAACGAAGTTGATAAAAGAAAATGTATTATCAAGAAATCTGATTACTGAAGCATATTTGTGTGCATACTTTGAAATGATACCTTAAATTATAGCTCTATTATGAATTATTATACATGCATGTGTATATTGTTGAGCTCAATGAATAATATTGTATGAATATTTTTTGTTTGTAATAAATTGTGAATTGCGGGTATATGTATGTATGTATGTAATTAAGTTTGGTAAATGTATACTTAAGTTTTAAGTTTGATTGTAAATATTATTACCTGTTACAATATACATATGTATGTATGTACATACCTATGTATATAAATCAGTATGGCGAGCTGAGTCGATTTAGCCATGTCCGTCTGCCTGTATATACCCGAACTAGTCCCTCAGTTTTTACAATATCGATAGCTGTCATACAAACTGGCTGGTCAAAATCAAGTTCTTGTAAGGAATCTTTTGAATTTGTGAATGGTATTACAGCTTCGGTGCAATAAAAAGCTGACGTTTTTTCTTGTTTGGTGATGCTGTGGTATAGAGGAATTATTGCACTCAAGTTTTCCTTTCAGAATAACTGTTAACCGTTGGTATGAGAGCAAGTGTGGTTTTCTCATCATCAAAATCTGAATAATCGTCCGTATCTGGACATACATATATTATAGTTTTCCGATCTGGCCAATTCCGACATTTGATCTATAGAATATCAAAATGCACCCACATACTACTTATGTATTAAATTTCTTTCGGATATCTCAAAAACTCACGAAGAAATTTTTATAATCCCTAAAAGATAAACTTCGCTTTAAAAATCGCTGACTCAAAACCGATTTAAGACCCATAGTCTCTCAGGGAAAGTTCAGAGTAATTCGTAGAATATTTCACTGTATTTGAAATATATGAACTAAAATGTGAAATTTTTTATTAATGTCAGTTGATTCAACACTTATTTAGTGAATACACCGTTCTTTAATTGTCAAAGCATATTTTTTTTGTTTTTGCAAATATCGATCGAAAATTGTTGGTAGAACGAAAATTTTACAAGCTTATCGAATATTTGGTCGGATGTTCTGCCAAAATAAGTGCGAGTGCAAAAAATGGAAGCCAAATTCCGAAAACAAAGGACGAAAAGAATCTCTTTCGCGGTCCCAGTTGCGGAAAGTTGTGGTTTTGCCTAAATAAAAGCCATTTCATAAGTAAAAAAAAAATTAAAGATTAGTTAAATCTTAGTGTTACTGCATCCACTATAAGAAAAAAAGTTGATAACAGCTAAACTTTTCGGTAGCAGCCCAAGAAAGAATCCACTACTTCAACCCCGGCATGGGCAGGTCGGAGCTCAATTCGTTGAAGAGCACCTGGATTGGCCAGTTGAAAAATGGCGCAATATATTGTGGTCCCACGAAACGAAAATTGTTTTATTTGGTTCCCGAGGACGCCGAGAATATGTACGAAGGCCAAAAATGTTTCATTTGATCCCCGATTGGTTTTCCGGAAGATAAGGGTGATTTTCTTATAATGTACAGGTCCGTTATATTCGATTGAAGAAAAAATGGATGGCTGAATTGGGTCTATTAACAAGACAACGACCCCAAGCATACCAGCATGTTGGCACAAAAACTGGTTTATTTAAAATGGAGTTGAGGTTGTAAGCTGGCCGGCTGTGTTTCAACACTTTACCATAAGAATGATTGCTTAAACATTCGTTAATCTCCTTAGCTTAAGAAAAGTGAAGAATGAACGGGCTCTCGGCAATCACCAGTTGTCGGACAGCAACACCGAAAACTTCATCGTTGCCGTTGAAATATTGCCTCGTTCAACACTGCAGTTATTTCGCTATTTTTTGTACATACATATGTATGTATGTAAATTATAGGAAAAATACTGTGTAGGGTGTGTGTTTTGCAGTAGCTACATACATACATACTATGTGTTGATATCATTATTGGTTTTTTGAAATAATGAAATATTCAAATGCTTCTTACATGAATTTCGAACACATGCTTATAATTTAAAATATATAAGGGTCATATTGTGTCATATTGTCTTATTTTTTTATGACTGTCATATCAACATTGTTGTTGTCTCCCATGCAAAATTGAAATACAACAAATACAACACGGCGAGGTATGTTTTTGAGTGTGCTATTCTATCAGCTGCATCAGTTTACTTTTTTATTGTTGACGTTTAAGTGTCTAAAATTAAAAATATGGTAGGAAGCCACGATATTCAGGTAAAATAAGTTGAAGAAAAGTGAATATAAAATTATTTTGTTTTCTGTGGTTGGAAATCATTTTATCCAGTGTAAACCAAAACGCTGCAGTTTCAACATAAAGAAAGTTTTCACATAAAGAACCATTAATTTTATTTTTGCCACTTTTTCGTGGCATTTTTGTAGTCTTCACTTTTCACTACCAGCTGATGAAGTGTAGAAATATTACACAATATGACATACAACGATTAAGCCGTGCTTACAAGTGTCGTATTTTTTAAGACTATTGAAATACGACATAAGACATAACACAAAGCTTGTGAATTGCCCAAATATTTGTGTTTATGAATTGAATTGAATTTTAACATAAAAAGATAAAAAGTATCCTTTGTCCGTCCCCAGGTTTCAAGCTACCTCCCAACCAGTTTTCAACCAAATCTGTTCAGGCGTTCTTTAATTATGAATAGTGTCACTAACACGGCTTTAATTTATATACATACATATGTAGATAATGAATCAACTGACTTTTGATGTAAAAAACTCAATACTGCTATTATTAACCCGAAATAACCCACGCGTACCATATGGTAACGCAAAGTGTGCCGTTATATTTCCATAAATAACTTGAAAGCTACACTACAAAACTACAAACTACAAGCCGTTTTCTTTTGTGAAAACATTGCAGCTTGCCAAATTTGTGAAATTTGAATTATTGTGATTTCAATTCGTGAAATTATCGCTGAAAGTAAGCTGACAAAAACAAAGGTAAAAAAATCTCGTTTTTCGATATCGCATGTCGGTAAGTCCTTAGATTAGATTAAATAGGGATAGAGGTATGCACCGCGAACTATGGTCTATTGTGCCCTCCCCTAGGTCAGAACGACTCATCTTGCCCCAGCATATTGATGAAATCCAATATACTGCTAGGTTCTAGTGAAGCCATCGATCCCTGTTTGGAAATATGGATCCCAGGGCTTTAACTCTGCGTCTGCAGACTGCTGTGCAGTCCACTAGCAGATGTTCTGGGGTTTACGACTCCATGTCACAGAACCGGCAGTTTGCAGAAGAGACTAAGCCCATGTTAAATAAATGCTTGTTGAGCCTGCAATGTCCGGTGTAGAACGCGACAAGTAGCCGGAATTTATTTCTCGGGAGATTGATTACGGTTTTAAACCGTCTCATCATAGTCCCCCATCAGCAACCTGGCATGGCGCATGCCTTGGAGATGTTAACAATGTCTTTCCCTGCCTGCTCTTTCCTCTTTACGGAGCAGCTCTTTAATGGTGTGTGGACCAACCGCGGTTACGGTTCTGGTACTACCATTTTTGGGAGGCTGTAGAGCGGGGCAACTCGTCAGTCAGTTCATTTCCTGCTATACCCCTGTGACCAGGCACCCAGATGAGGTGCACTCTATTGTGGCTTCATAGGCTGTTCAGCCGTTCTATGCACTCTTGCACTAGTAGCGATTTGACCTCAAAAGCCGCGATCGCTTTTAGTGCCGCCTGACTATCGCTGAGTATGCTGATACTCTTATTGCGATAGTTGTGTTGGAGGTTCATCTCTACGCACCGACTTATAGCACATACCCTGCGATCCCTGCACAAATCCCCTCCGCCGTTTTCGAGCCGTCGGTGTAGCACTTGATAGTGCTATCTCTTAGCAGCGGGGAATCATTCCATTCCGGCTTACTGCCAAGGGTAACTTTGAACTTCCTAGTGAAGCTTACTGCTTTGGTAATGCTATCCCTTGGAAGAAGGGCCAGTGGCATTTCGGGCCTTCATCTGCTGGGACGAGATTATCTTCCCTTTGCCAAACCTTTCTGCTGTCATTTGAAGCAGGGTCTGTTTGGCCGTCTGTTCGATCACTATATGTAACGGTGTGAGCTCCAGCATTAGTTCCAGTGCTGCAGTCGGATACGTACGCATCGCGCCCGACGCGCAGATACATTTGGAAACTCAAGCCACTGCTCCATATGTTATTATCGGTCTCACAATCATGGTGTACAACCATCTGATAATCCTCGGGTTGCAGCCCCATGATTTCCCAGCAAGTCGATTGCACACCATGAGCGCTTTCGTAGCTTTGGCTAAGGTCAGGTCCACATGCTGCTTCCACCGTAGAGTGGAATCCAGCGTGAAGCCCAGGTACTTGACCATCTCCATCTCCAGCTCTATGCCGCCTAGGGATAGGTTTCTGAAGCGTGGCAGTAACCTGCGCCTGGTAAACGGTATGATTGTAGTCTTGGAGGGGTTGATGTTTAAACCAACCCCACTACACCATCCCTTTGCCAGCCCCAATCCCCATTGTACAATGTCGCAGAGAGTGTCTGCGAACTTAACCTGGTTAAGATAACAATATCGTCTGCATATCCCTGACAGCGGATTCCATTGCTAGTTAGCAGCTCGAGAAGATCGTCCACAACTAGGCTCAAAAGTAGGTGGGATAGTACTCCGCCTTGTGGACAGCGTCTCATTGTGCCCAGACGAATCTTGGTATCGCTTACTATGATATTTTCAATACTTTTAAGTAGGAAGGAAGGTTAGACTTATTGGCCTGAAGGATTTTGTCAACGAATAGTCTTTCCTTCTTACTTTCGGTATGAAGATCACCTTTGCAGTTCGCTATGGTTCTGGGATATATGCCAACGCTAGGCTATCCCTCATCAGCCGAACAAGGTGGAGCAGTAGAACCTGATCCTGCTCCTGCTCTTGCAGCCTCTGGCGTTGAGAAGACGCTTTCACAGAACTTCCTGAAGCTCTTCTGCTTTGCTGGCCCAATCTCCTTATTGTAATCAGTTAGGCTGCACTTGTAGTTCTCCCAGTACCCGGTACGCTTAGCCTTGTTAAATAACTTGCGTACCGTTTTTCGTAGTCCTGAGAGCCTACTTGACCACCAGGAACAGCTGCGGTTCTTGGTGGTCGTCTTTAGGGGGCAGCTGCTATTAAATGCCTCTATAATGGACTGGTTTAGCGCAGACAACCTGCTATCAAGTCCAGAAGCA